TCTTGAACCGAACGGGGTAGCAAATTTTGTACCGTAGTCCTCTTTGCTGCACAACGATGTCAACTCTAAACAAACACAAACATGCAATGTAGTGGTAGTGGCTCCATCTCTTGTATTTTCGTAGATCAACCTCGTCCTCGCTTAAGTCTCGTTCTCGTCCTCGTCCTGCTCCTCTTCTTCGTCACTGTCGGGGTGTAAATTACTCGTTAGTTTAACAAACTATGCCACGGAGTGGCTTTATGACGCGGGCAAGTGGTGGGGAAGCCCCCACCTAGCTGAGTCGTCATCTACTTATTTGCCCAATCAACATGACCTCATCCTGGCCCAACGTGGAGCCAGCACCAAGTAGACAGATGCCCTGGGTAGGGGGGTGAGCACATTGATAGGAACCTGAGCGCAAAACCTGGGTTACAGGGGCTTACACAGGATTTTGTCGGTATTGAACCATTATCACCATAGAGGACCGTGAGGACCAGTAGATTGCCAGACCAAAGAGTGCTCGCCAGTAAGTGTGTCTGGGTGATCAGTCCCAAGCTGTGGCAAGGGCCTTGGCATGCAAGCAAGAGCCAGCAGAGCCCGTAGGAGTGGTACTCCTCAGGCTGGACCAGAGCAGGGTGTAACCCATCCAATGCAAAAAATTGTTAGATAGAGGCAACAAGCAGGCAAAGATGGGGTCAAATGACACATGGCAGTGTGTGGTTCCCAGGAGGGGGGCACAGTGGCTGCTGGAGTGTTTTGGGCTGTTCGAGGGGTTGTTGAGTCAATAGAAGGAGGATAAGGAGGCACTGGAAGTGGGCTGGTGCCAGGGGCAGGAGGGGAGATCCTGTTGGTGTTGGGGTGTTGTTGTAGGAGTTGGATGTAGCATGTTGATGTGTGTTGTAGGATAGAGGCGTGCCTCTGTTCAAGGGTGAGAACAAAGGAATCCTCCCTGATGGGTAGGGTGTATTCGGAAGGGTGTGATCCTCAGGATGGCTGCATGCTCCAGGAGCTGTTGGCTGATCATCTGGGGAGTGGTGTTGTGTAGTCAGCGGAGGATGGTGTTGTGGTTGGTTGGGTGAAGTGTGGGAGTGGGGGAATGTCTGGGAGGACCTGGGTTTGAGTGGAGTTGTGGGTAGACATGGGGAAGTCATGGTGGGTGGTAGGTGGGTTGGTGGAGAGTTGTGTATCCTGAGTATTGACTGTAGTGGCGTGCTTCAACGCAAGCTATGGAGGTTGCTTGTGAGGTGGCGAGATGATTGATGTAGAAGGGTGTATTCAAGGGGCAATGCACTGAGGCACTGGTAATCAAGTTTATATCAAGTTGTTGGGTGTTGTTGCCACTGGATCAAAGGCTGTGGCCAAGTCTTGGTGCAGGTATACCACTACCTGCAGGAGAAGATGGTATCAGAGCCAAAGGCTGTTAGGGATTCTTCAGGGAAAACTGGAGAAGTCACGCTATAGCCAGTAGAGGCAGTGGTGGGGGGATCAAGGGGTGTTTGTTGGTTGATGGGGCTGTGTTACTGGATGACACTGTGTTGTCTCAAAGGCTGGTACTCAATCTGTTGTAGGGTCAGACATGCACAGAGAGTCAAGCCAAGACGTGGAGAGGGTACTCGATTCAGGTGGGAACTGTGGAAAGTCACTGGAGAGTCACTCAACAATCAATTGAGAGAGAGATAGAGTCAGTTATGTATTAATATCTATGCCACACCACGCTGCAGTTCTGTCTGAGGCTCAATCCTTTGGAGTTCCTGAGGCTCAGTAGGAGAGTCAGGTGCAGTAGCAGAGAGGTGGCTGTTTCAATGAAGGTGTTGCACAATCTGTTATAACCAGAGGGGCAACTTTTGTAGTTGGTTCTTGTGGGGGTGAGATCCTTTGGAGAGGAGCTGGGTATCTCAGGGAGGGGCTGTCAAAACACTAAAAATGTCAGCCAAGCCTGGTGATAAAGTTTTAGGAGGACGACTGACTGCAGGGGGCTTATGCAGCGGTGTACTCCTTGAACTCAAGTCCTTACAGGAGCTCTGTTGTTGTTTGTTGTTCCTCTTGGGGAGGAGTTAGATATCAATGGAGGGGTGGTAACAGTAGCAGGAGGTATCAGTTCCAACAAGGACGTCGGAGAAACACTAGTGGCCGGTGAGAAAGTAAGAATACAGGTGTAATTCTCTTCTTGGTGGTCACTGTAGGTATCTCGTGAAGTCCTTCTTGATAATAGAGGCTGTCGTTCGATCTGTACGGAGGGAAGAGGTACGGAGAAGAGGTACGGAAGTCGCTTCGTGGAAGATGCGATCGATTCACGAGGTGAGTCTTGATTCGATTCGGAGTTCGGTTCGATTCGGTGGGATTCAGCGAGTCCAAGGTTGCCTTAGGAATAAGGTTAACCCGACGCCTGTTGGTTGTGAGGAAGAAGATCGAGGTCGGATCCGTTCGAAGACAGATGGAAGGACATGGGGGTATTTTGTCGGCCGTCGGCAGTGAGAGAACCAGAAAGTAACAAATGGGTAATGTTTTTCTCTTCTATTCTGAACTGACGAGAAGACCGAGACTCTCTTTTGTGTTCAATATTCTTCCTACTTGGCGCGTCGGTGGTCTAGAATAGAAAACCCGCCCAATCTGTAGGATTTCAATTGGGATGAGCTTTCTAATCTGAACCGGAGAACGCCGCGTTGATAGTCGCTTGATTAGAGGAGGTGCGCTTGAAGGAGAGTTCGATAGGAGAGGTGTATCGATCCGTTTCGGCTTGAAGGGGTTGTAAAGAGAGGAAAAAAAGGGAAAATGTACTGTTTTCGTGTGACGTTGGTTGAATCCGGGAGTGCGAGAGGAGTCAAAACCAGCTGGTGGTTGGCATTCACGAGGTGAACCTCCCGGGACTCGCTAGAACGAGGTAGACGTAGAATCCCCTTTTAATTTTTAGCTTATTCTTTTGTGTTATCCCATGTCTACATCGTACTGCACATCGGCCTCCGTTCGCAATTGACAGCTCCAGATCCGCTCCTCGGACTCTCTCCTTCCGTTTACCACGATGGGTTTACTCTTGCAAAAAAATCACCTTTTCCGTCTCAGATGTGAACAGATTCGGCAAAATGATGAGGAGAAAACAATCTTCACAGTCCTTATGGACCATTTCAACACTGAGGAATTCACACTCTTTGCTGCAGCGCTCCGTGTCAATAACACTATTCGACAGTTCCAACTGTGTCTTATGAGTGCTTCGCAACCACCAGATCAAATTCAAGTATTGGGAAACATCTTTCAGACCAGCACTGCCATAAAGAGACTGATTCTGATTGATCCTTACAATCACCAACTCCAAGCCTTGTGGCAAGGTGTTCTTTCCGGTCAATCGCTGGATGATGTTGCCTTGAATTTGCATCCACCGGCTTCTGTTGCTGGTTTTATGGAGGCATGGACCGAATCATCAACCATCAAGAGTTTCACGTTTCAGGAGTGTCACTTCCAAAAGGACAATGTGGATGCTCTCTGCACTCATCTCATAGGATCAAGGCGCAATGGCGCACGGTTTGTCTTTCATCACTGTATTTTCACCGTGGATGACAAACGCTGCATTGCGCAGGCTCTAGCCCAAAGCACCGCTCATATAATGTTTTCATTTTGTGACAAAGATGGGTTGGACAAGGAGACGGCTACAATGTTTGGACAAGCTGTTGCCACAAACAAAAAGCTGCAGGGAGTGGCATTTTATGAATTGGATAATGACAATTTGCACATCATCACACAGGCAATTGAGCAGAATCACTATTTGACACGTGCTTCCATTTCGGGAAAGAGAGTGAGATTCGAGAGAGAAACTGAATTTGTGGAGATGTGCAAGAAAAAGGTGGCCCAGTCTATTGAACTCAACAAGGCAGGCCGCCAGTTTCTGCAGGAGTCCATTCAACGGCCTGGTGGTGCAAGTATTGAAGCATTCTGGTTATCCTCCTTGACCAAGAATATCAATAAACACTCTCTTATATATTCTTGGATTCGCAACTATCCTGATGTTTTTGTTCGGGTGGCTGGTCTTGCCAAGGAAGTGGAATCCAAGGGAAAGAGAAAGGCTGATATCAAGGGCAAGTTGAAGGCTAAGAAGCCCAGGACCATGGGATAAAATACCTTTTATTGGGGACAACCGACAGCAAGGGCCCTTGTCAGTGGTTACTTTTTGGTAAATTATATGTATCACTGTACCTATCAACGTTTGACCTTTATAAGGCCCAACTAGGACTGAATGAAATGTTTGTATTGAAACCATGTATGCACGATGTGTTGCATTGACACTTCAGAGCCCCCCTTTGGTCCGGTGTGAGTTCAGCAAGACGTTGCACGGGAGCTTTGGCTTTGCGACCAAGCATGCCATCTACAGAGGCAACGAGTCCACGGAGACAACGAATCCACGGATGAGCGAATAGATGATTTGTTCATCAGTCCTCTCGCCAGTGGCGGCATGGTTTGTCCAATGCAGCGAATATCAGGCGGAACGGGAATAGCAAAAGTGTGTGCTGACGCTGCACGCAATGAATGGAAGCGGTGCTTCGAAGGCTTCGGTACAGCGTACAGGCATTTTGAATGTAAGACGGAAACGTTATTCTGATGGCACAACTTGCTCTTACATAGGATTCTGCTTCACTGCTACTAGCTAGACAACTAGACATACGCATATTGCCTCTTGTAGTTGTTTGGGGGCGGCAAGGGGTCCTCTCGATGTTGCGGGTGCAAAAGGCTCGGAGCATATTGAGGCATTGAAGAAGAAGTCTCGAAACTCTTGCTTGAGGGAATGGGCGCCATTGAGGTCTTCCAACCAGATGACTGCGCCGGGTCTCCAACTTTGGCTTCCTCTTCCTTTTCCGCGCCCTCGTATGGACTTCCACCAAACAAACGAGCCATGTCATCTGCAACGACTTGAGCACTTTGAAGCAAACCAGAATCCAGCAAGAAACACATGGGATTTGAGGCGCCTTTCCCGTTCGTAGGGGGTGACGGTGGTGCCATGTCGAACTGGTCGAACTGCCCTGGAAAATAGCGAGCTTCTTCGCACTTGGTCTCGTCATCATCGCCATCGTACAAGTAGTCAAACTTTTCTTCTCCTGCAGCCGGGTTCGCAGTTGTGTTTTGTCTCTGGTGCGTTATCGTAATAGAGGCCGATGGCATCTTTGTCCTGGACGAAACCATCCATGTACTTTCAACGCTGTTTTGGCTTCTTTGGCTTGCCACACTCTGGTTGGAAGAGATCTTCTTCTTGATGCGTTTATGACGAAGTGCCTTGGCCAAATGCCGCCATCTTGAACCACCTCGTTGCTGCTTGGTTTTACCATTGTCGTCTGATTTGCTGCCCTCCCCGTCTGATTTGGTTTCCTTCGCGTCAACTGCTTGAACAGGTTCTTGGCCTAGTTGCACCTCGTGTGCGTCGTTGTATTCTATCTCCTCAAGTTCGTCTACCAGATGCTGCACCTCGTCGTGTTCATCTTGATGTTCCTCCTCCGTCTTGTGTCCATGTTGCTGCTCTAGTTCATCTACTAGATGTTGCACCTCGTCGTGTTCATCTTGATGTTTCTTGTGTCTACGTTGTTGCTCTAGTTGATGTACTAGATGTTGCACCGTCTTGTGTCCATGCTGTTCCTCTAGTTCGTCTACTAGATGCTGCACCTCGTCGTGTTCATCTTGTTGCTCTTCCTCCTCCTGTTGCCGTGCCGCTTGTTGAAGTTTCTCTTCCTGCTGTTGCAGTTGCGCTTGCACTCCTCCACGAGTCGGCGCCAAATGTGTGCCTTCTCGTTCGGGCTTGAGGTGATGGCCAGTAACTTCAGTGTCATCAGAGCATTCATCAATGCCAGTCTTGCGTTCTTCTTCTTTGATGAGAGCAGCAGGGATTTGGAATTCTTCGTCCAGCACTTCTTCTCCTTTCAAAAGGGACCAGTCCTCGCTGCCGGCATCTGACTCGACATATGGTTTTTCCGGGGCTGGATTATTAATATTGAGGATGCTGTCAGCCGAATAGGACATGCTATTGCCCACCATCTGAAAGGATTTGGGACGCATGGGCTTGGCCTCTCGAATGTTCTCCCAAAGCACTTGCGTTTCGTTCCGGGCGACATCAATTGCCTTTTCGGCAAGATCACCGGCTTCCCAGCTTTCATCCTCGAGGGCTCCAATGTACCGAATCTCCAAGCCTTGGTTGGATGCCTTTTCAATCATTGATTGTGCAATCGCATTGGCTTTTCGGATTTGCGAAATGCCCAGTATCGCGTCACTCTCGTCGTCTTCGTCTTGATAGACGCCTCTGCGCCGGTTGTACTTGGCCGATCTACGCTTGCGCAAGGCAGCAACCACTTCCGGAGCGCCTACAATAAAGACTTCATCGAATTGGAATCGGAACAACCACTCCAATCCTTCAATCAGAGCCGAGTACTCGGCGTGATTGGTGCAATAGGGTCGACCGAGATACCGATAGCTCGAGACCAACTCTGTCTTGTTGACTGGCAAGCGTCCTTTGGAGCTGGATCTGCTGCCGCGATGAGAAGGAGGCATGTCATCGCTGCTCACCGTGTCATCGATATCACACAGACTGGATTCACGGCAGGAGTAGATGCAAAATCCAGTTCCCGCCACTATTCCTTGTGCCGGATCACTCACGCCCATGGCTCCTTCAAAGTAGAGAACTCCTTGGCGAGATCTATCGGCGGGAGTGAGACAAAAGGTGGCACTCGTGTTGTTGTCAACAATGTCGTCGTCGTCGTCGTCATCATCATCATCAATATTATCTTTGCCGACTGCCAATTGGACACTATGAAGTACGGGTGGCTGACGTCTTTGGTGCTGGACTGTTTTGAGGTAACTGCTGGACATGACATCGGCACAATCTGCTTCCATGACCACATTGAAACTAGCCCGGTCATCTACGGATGCCCTGACCACCTGACGTTTGGCTTGTCCTTCCAATTGTACCGTGACACAATCGCCATGTTTGATCCCTAATGCACGGGCCACCCGGCCATGGAGTAGAATCATGCGCATGAGGTTGTTTGATTTGGATGATCGTTTCTTTTTCTTTCGATGTCTGTTGTGGTTGTTGTTGTGGTTGTGGTTATCATCATGATGATTGGCAAACTCGACATCCTCTTGGAACGTCACACTCTTTCGGCTTGCGTCACTGCAAGGAGAATGACAGCGATCATCGTAGTCCTCTTTTTCGTCTTGGTTATTATCATCCTCCTCCTTGTCATCCTCGTCTTCTGGAGACACAATAATGACAGGTTGTGACCAAGTCACCGGGGGAGGGTTGTATGGTTTCGGACTTTGCTGATCTTGATAGAGAGCGGCAAAACTGAGCATTTGATCTTCGTCCAAGCACATTCCAAAGGTGGACAAGAGGAGACATTCCGAGTGTGGCACGTCCCATTCATGGGCAGATTGCTTGAGCTTGCTGGATGGGAACAGCGTCACCTGGGATATACTCACGGTAACGCTAGTATTATTATTATTGTTGTTGTTGTTGTCTGGTTCGGCGATGCTGCTCTGAGGAAGAGATTCCAAATCATTGGGGATGACGTCCACGTGGGCTGGCAGATGCAACGGCAAAGGTGCCCGATTGTTGTTGCTGTTGTTCAGGAGAGGTTCTACAATGTCACCAATAAAGGAAGAAATTTCATCTTCATCGTCTCCTGCTTCAAAGCTGATGGTATTGTTCATGCAGGTACCACACGAAGGTGGTCGCAGCGACAGCGACGGTGGCTGATCGTTGGGACATGCAGCAAACATGGCGTTTTGATTACAAAACAAAAATCAGAATACAATGGGTATCTGCCTGACCCCTCAGCTTCAGATACTGCGATTTGCACACTGCCACGATGAGATTCTAGATTCGATTCAGTCCAGCGCAGCGCTAAATCAATCGCTCCGTTCGGGTCGTCGTCGTTCGTTCGTTGCACGGGCAAGCTTACTAGCTAGCTACTAGTAGAGCCACACAAGGTTTTCACTTTATGCATGTATGTAACAGCTTCCAGTTTTTGTCGATGTAGGATGCAATGGGTTGTGGAGGCGAACAACAATCCAATTGTGACTGTTGTGGTGGCGGACCTTGTGGCCGAATTTACATGATCTTGCGCGCAAATTAGGATCCCGGCTCTAAGTAACAGTAACTATTTAGACAAAAATTTGAGTACTTACTAAAACACTGAGAATCCCAGTTGAGTATCAAAGAAAGAGATAGCAGGTTAGTCCCACCTGCTTAGACCCGCTCGGGATGGCAACCACCGCAACACGCCTTTTAGAAGTCATGAGCAGTCATGACCTCTGCTTTAGCTTTGGAAAGCTCTTTGGAATATGATAGTTCCTCAAGGCGGGGATGGTCTGGGATTTCAAAGCCAGTATATTGATGAGAGGGAGGATACTGGCCACCGGTACTGTACCTGCTATGCTACTGGCAGGCTTCATTCTTCACCTTTACCATGACACATGATGATACTACCCGGTACTATTCAGCCAGGGACACCCGTTCTTCAGCACAGAGTCACAGATACAACGGGAACCACCCGGAAGGGGATACTGTGCGCTGGATTTTCCGGGCATGTCGCACTGAAGATCAAAGCTCCTTTGTAGACAGAGTGACACTTGCTTTTTGACTCCCACACTCCCATACCGTACCGTATCTGATATTTGTATCCATACTATAAACTCAGGAAGGACGACAGCCCAATGCTGTCTCGATAGTAGCTGCTGGACACGCTTGCTACCATATCATTTCTTGAAGCAGTACTGGCTATTTTTGGCGCCGTACAAGCATCCAGCCAGGCATGTTGACTGTTTGACTTGCCTTAGTCGCAACACCACCAAATGAGTTCAGCAACAGCCATCTAGCTAGCTAGACATTGTTCCTGCCAGGTCATCGGACAGACGACGATTTAACTCCGTCAAATTCTGCCGACATGTGCTTCCAACTGCTGCTGCTATTGGAGGCAAGCAAGGTGCATGTTGCATGGTCTACGACTGTACGGAGGCAGGCAACGTTGCCTGAGTCGAGTCCATATTCACAGAACACTTTTACTTTTAAAATGATTCTTATATCAGTTATTATGCAAACACTCTTGTGCCAGGCATTTTCCTTTTTCTTTTATGTTGGCATCCAACAGGCTACAAGAGAGCTACCGGTATGGTACCACCTCATGGCAATGACGCATTCTTGGTGCACCTTTTCTTCATTCTTCTTGTTCGTGAGACAAACCTATGCTTTTTGGGCACGATCGGCTTCAGCCTTTTGCTTGAGCCATTCCTCATGGTTCACTCCAAGTCCTTCATGGAAAGCAACCGCATAGTAGGGGTTCCTTGTTCCAACCACTGCCACAACAGGGGTGACCTTTTCACTTCCCCATGTTTGCAGCTCAGTGTGCTTGGATGAAGGAGAAATGCGAAGATCCTTGTAATAGGCAAGGGCGTGGAACCCCATGCCAGTCATGAAAGTAATAGCACAACCCATAATGACAATGATGGGGTATGTGGATGGATCACTCAGAAAGTGCGCCTTGAAACCCTTGTCCATGTTCTTGCGAAGATGAGGTGGTACAGCACTTTGTGGGGAAAGGTTGTGGACACCCTGTGCTGGTCCAGCAGCAGCAGTGGATTGAGCCCGTCTCATGGCAGCAAGAGTGGCACGTTGGATGGTTGGGCGGAAGCAGTTCATGGTTGATTGATTGGTTGTTTTGCTCTTTTTGGTTGCGTTGCTTTGTTTGGCGTTTGTGTTGTTGTTCAAGTTGATTTTGTGAGGACGGAGTGGATTTGGCGCCTTGAGTTCTTGATGTTCGCATTGTCTAACCAGCGTTCGCGTTGAAGATGAACGAATGGGAACGTTCGCGTATTATGAGAACGCTTCTTTGGGCGTTGCATTTTCTTGGGAGATCTTGATGTTCCGTGGTGCCAATGGTACTGGTGGTTGGTGGTACTCGTACCGGTACGTACAGTCGTACCGGTACTAGCTAGTACCTGGCATCAATTGCGTGACGATGTGCTGGTTGGTTCGTATTGCAGTAGCAGGTGACAGTTGCTATGCATACCTTAGCAATGACAGCACCTTCGCGACGAAGAAGCTGATGAGGGGTGATGTGAGCTGACGGGAGCAAATAGTTGCTAACCACGATCTACTGTGTAGCGGCTGTACCAGGTATCAATGAGCTATCAATGGCTCAACAACCAATGGCTCAACAACAAATCCACCTAAAACAAGAAGCTGTTGGCCTGAATTCGAAGGTTGTTCTTCTTGCAATAACTACCAGGGATCCTTGGAAAGAATCCTATAGCTAACTGGGCCGCCTACTTGTGCAGGTAGGTTGCAAACTTGAAAGGTACGGTACGTTTAGTATGATTTTGCAGCAGATATGGTACGTAACTGAATTGGCACGGGCCATGTTCTGACGTAACCGGTACCACCTACCTCCTTCCCAGAATAAGTTTACAGCTCTGCTGCTCTATTATTTTTATCCCTAAAGAGGGTTGGGAGTTGGGAAACTGGTTCTGATGCCCGTGGCAGCAAAACTGATGGTTTTGCCCTGTGCGGAGCGGAAGTTGCGCTCGAAGAGAACTCATTTGTTCCAAAAGAAACACAACTGCTGAGGCATCACTGACATCGCGACAGCAGTGCAGCAAGAACAGAAGCAAGCTCTGCCAAATACTCAGTAGTAATAAGAGAGCACCACTTGGTCCGGTACCGGAAGTGCTCAATTTCATCCTTTTGTTATTCTCTGAAATCTCCTGGATTTGCTGTACAATCGTATGATTCATTTTTATACCCAAAGAAAGATACAACATGAGCGAAAACTTGGAGGCAGGTCTTCCCGAGGCCAACGGTGCCGATGGTGACGCCAACACAGAGTCTCCCAACAGTGAGGTTTCCCAGCTGGTGGAAGAAATGGAAAAACCATGGCCATCCACGTTCGAACGATCAATTTCTTTGCTTGCCAGTCCAGTCATTACAGCGCCGCAAGCTGATCACTTTACGAGAAGTCCCAAACCAGGTGGTACCCCATTATCTGGCAGAAGAGCCCAGCGAGGATATCTGACACCCGAACAGTCGTCTCTATTGGCACCAGGACAACGCGCATCCAATGACTTTCAACAGGGTGTCCAAAAGGTACAAAGTCTGGACTTCAAATCGAAGTACAATGCAGTGGATCAACCAATAAAGCCACTGATGGACACTCAAAAGGAACAAAACAAAAAAGCGATGGAAGCCAAGGCCTACCGGCAAAAGCTATTGCAAGCAAAGCAGGAAGAAGGAGCTCAATTGTCTCCTGGTTACAAAAAAGAAAAGAGTATCAGAAAGGCAAAGAAGGACAAAATTTCCCTGGAGGAGAAATCTACGTTCAGCCAGGCGGTGTTTAATATGGCCAATATCCTCATGGTAAGTTGGCGCTTGATTGCTCATCGTTACCCAAATTGCCTCAAGTTTTAATCTGAGAGGGGTTGCTTTTCTGCATCGTCGTGAAGGGTGTCGGTCTTCTAGGATTGCCCTTTTCTCTGAAGAGTGCTGGCTGGGGTGGTGGCATTTTTTGTCTTCTGATCCTTGGTCTTATCACATGGAGGACATCAATTATTATTGGAAGAGAACTGAACGGAGATCCCAGGCCAGCTAGTTACTTTGATGATTCACCTTTCAAAACTCCACTGCCTCCAGGGTCCTCTGTGGCAGCTCGAATGCTACCACCTATAAAATCATTCCCAGACATTGCCAGGGCATCCTTTGGAGAAGCAGGATGTGTTTTCCTTTCAGTTGTCTTGTACTTTGAGCTATTTTCCTGCCTGTGTATCTTTTTGATCAGTATTGGGGATCACTTGCACACAGTGTTTCCCGTATGGTCCACCAATCAACACATGGTCGTGGTGGCCGCCGTCACCATTCTTCCTACGGTTGTCCTACGTACCCCTCGGCTTCTGTCTTACCTGAGTGCGATTGGAACCTTTTCAACAATTGCAGTGGTGCTGACAGTTGTCATTGCTGCCATTTTTGAAGGAGACATCTCTGCGGAGGCTGCAGCAAGGTCGGCTACAGCGAGGTCTTTACAAGAAGCAACAACGACAACCAGCGAGCACAAGTCCATGCATCATGTCTGGGATAATTCTGGGATGCCAATCGCCATGGGTTTGGTTGCATACTGTTTCTCAGGTCACGCCATTGTCCCCTCCATCTATACGTCAATGCAAAAGCCACAAGAATTTGAGCGCATGATTGATTTGACCTTCTTGATCGTGCTCTGTGCATGCCTTGCAGTGGGAACCAGTGGTTACTACATGTTTGGCGATGCCGTTTTGGATCAAGTGACGCTTTCCCTGGAACAAAACTCGTCTGCTGTTCTAGTGATGGAAATTTTGACGTGGTTGATTATTTTGACATCGTTTTCCAAATATATTTTGACAATGTACCCACTCGCTCTTGGAATGGAAGAAATCTGTGCCCCCTATCTGTCCAGTGACCTTTTCGTGCGCTTTGCGTCCTCCGCCATCAAGTTTATTTTGACAGTTCTGGCACTGGTAAGTCCGGGAACAGGCAGAGCTTGAGTTGTGGTCCCATTTGTTTGTCTATGCAACCACACTCACTCTTACTTCTTGATTTGATGCAAACCTTCCAGGTGGTCGCCATTTATGTACCCTCCTTCAGTTTTGTCTGCGCTTTGGTGGGTATGATTTGTACGATGAGCGTGTCGGTGATCTTCCCGGCGGCAGCACATTTGAAAATGTTTGGCAAGAAACTAGGTTTCCTTGAAAAGTTGACTGACTGGATTATGGTAGTTGTTGGATGTCTTGTTGCCGTTGTTGGCACAATTTACACTGTTGCATGAGGTAGATTAGCCATCCCATTCTTTGAAAAAACAAAATAGAAATGCACAACAGTAGATGTACATGCCTCACTCTTTGAATGCCACCAAATATGATGAGTTGGGGCCACAGCGCCGTAAGGGAGACGGGTCCTCGCACCTATTAATAGCTACAGGTAGGCTTAACGATTCCTTGCAAAGCCAAGAGTAAAGAAGGTGTTTCAAAAATCCCAGGCGCGGCGGCGATACTGGTAGAGGCAAGCGAAGTCACTAAGCCCTGCCATTTTGATTAAATTTGCAGCTCTGCTGCTCTATTTGTTTTGATCCCTAAACGATCAGTTTAAGGATATCCCTGGACGAGTGCGACGTTTCCGACGTTCTCACTTTTTCGAATTCAAAAAATTCGAACGACCATCCAACACCAAGCACCACCAATAAAGAACCACCGACACCATGCCTGGAGTGTTACAAGCCACCTTTTACTCACGAGATCAAGATGACTTTGTTGATCGCCGCCAGCACCGTTTAGCAGAATGTCCACGAGACGCGACCCCATTTCCGATTTGCTGGACGTTGCCTACAATGATTCTCTCCAGTGGCGGCCACATCCGATCTCCCTCTGGAGCCAACAACAACAGCACCAATCATCATCAGTATCGCAGCATTAGCGTCCATCCCTTGATATTCCACGACCGTGTGGCCAATGCTCTTGGTGTCCGTGAGGGAGATGAAGTGCTCTTTTCCTTCAAAGATGCACAGCTGGCCAGCAACAACCAACAGGAGAACTTGCATTGCTACGATGACTCCCACAGCGATTCATCATCCCACGATGATTCCTACAATCACTACAACAGCAGTTACAGCAATATAGATAGTTCAGTTACTGCCTCCTGGATAAGAAGAGATGGAAGCAGTAGCAGCAACAACATGGACGACAACCTGATTGCCTTGAGAGTATCCATTGCCGCATTGGCTCCATTTGATGTGGCCATTGACAGTCAACATCCCGCTTGCAATCACATTTTTGAAGGAACCATTCACTATGAAAACTTTGGAAACTTTCTGTGCCTCACCAACGGCAGTCAATGGAAGCTCAACGAGCAAGAACGAGTCTTTCGGGCCTACAAAACATCCAAAGACTTTCGATGTGCTGGCATGATGCTGCAGGTTGAAGGAATCACCGACTACTACAATCAGAACAGTGATGGCGCTGGTTGTGGATTCTGCATTCACGCATCATCGCCTCTCGCTCATCACCCACGAGCATCCGAACAAATGGTCCAGGGATATCGATATTTGGGTGCTACGAGCAATCCGCACGAAGCCGTATTTTATGCCTTGTTGGAAGGGTTACAATGGGTCGTGCGATTGGACTTTGGGACGGTCTGGATTGTGGGATCTTCCGAGATGGTCTTTCGACAAATTCAGGGCAATTCTTGCTGTACCGGTACCGATGAGTCTTACAGTGACAATCCCAAAACGCTGCAACTCATCCAACAGCTCAAAGACTTGCTCGAAGAGGCGCGGCATTTGAGGATCCAGTTCAAGTTTTTGACCAGCAACGAAACGGGTGAAGCCACAGATCTTGCCACACGGGCTATTGTGCAGCAACGAAACGAAACCTGGTGCCATTGGTCGACGATAAACTTTCAGTCGCAACGAAGCATGCCTTTCAATAAGACGCTGGCTAGGCAAGTGTCAATCTAATCTAATCTAGCTAGCCAGGAGCGACCGCGCTTGTGTTGCCCCCAACATTGAATGGCAGAAATACACATGACACGATCAAGCTAGCTAGACTAGTGCCAACCAAGAGGACTGTAAAGCCAAATAATCATTAACTTGATCTTTTGTTTTAAATATATTTTTGCAAGGTCGCTACTATGAGCTCCAACATTTTCACTGTTTTCAACCACAGAGATTAGACAATCTTCTTCTTTGTAGCCACCCCCTGCTTTTGCCAATAGAAGTACATGATTGCTGCAGCTGCTAGGGCTCCAACTGGTGCCATGGCTGGTCCTCCAAAGAGGGTTTCAATTGCAAAAGATGCCGTAAACAGCACAAACATGGGAACACAAATCAAAAGGAATCTAGACCAAAACCCAAAGCCTTCAGCATATTCTGCCAATGCTTGACCAGCCTGAAGCCAAGAAATGATTCCTTCACCATTGGAGGGATCCGGGGACTGACAGAAGCTGGATGAAACTCCAAGGCACAGCATTCCGTATGGGGACAGCCAAAGATGAGAGATGGCATGCTCGCTCACGCCAAAGTAGTCTTGGGCAGTTGAAATCCCCCCAGGGGCATCCTTCTGAATGGAAACGTAGGTTGATGCCACAATTCCATCCACCACAATTGTACCATCTGTGGTCAATGGCATGTACAAACCCTTCTTTTGGACTGCTGAGATCTGTGTGACCGTGGCTGAGCCTTGTTCTGAATTAGCCACAGACACAAGATCTCCAACCTTGAGCTGATCAGCAGGAATTGCCATTTGTTTCTTGTCATTGTCAATAGTATAGACGAGATGCTTTGCTGTCATTTCAAGGGGCTTCTTCTCATTTCCTGCGAAGATCTGGAGGAAGGTTGTCTCCTTGGACTCGTGGCGGTGTCCAAAGCCATAGAGATGCTCATATCCACCACCACCAGTCAAGACTTTATCGCCTACTTGAAGCTCTTTCATGGCAATGCCCCCTTTGTTCTGCACCTGAACTATGGTGCTCTCAGAGAAACAAAAGCCTCCTCCATCTCCTTTGCAACCCCCACCGCTGCCACCACCACTACCACCACCACTGCCACCACCATAGCCGGAACCTTCACAGCAGCCTCCAGAACCATAAGCACACTCATCATCACTGTCTGTTGGGGACGCAACAGGAGATGCAACAGGAGTAGCGACTGGCGATGCAACAGGTGATGCAACAGGAGAAGCGACTGGCGATGATGTTGGGGATGCAACAGGTGAAGCGACTGGCGATGATGTTGGGGGTGCAACAGGAGACGCCACTGGCGATGATGTCGGTGATGCTACTGGTGAAGCCACTGGCGATGTCGGTGACGCAACAGGTGAGGTGGGCGATGCAACAGGTGAACCCGTAGGTGTTCCTGTTGGCGTTCCTGTTGGCGTTCCAGTTGGCGTTCCTGTAGGTGTTCCAGTTGGCGTTCCTGTTGGTGTTCCAACTGGCGCCCCAGTTGGCGCCCCTGTTGGCGTTCCGGTTGGCGTTCCAGTTGGTGTTCCAGTTGGCGCTGCACCACTGTAAGGGCACGAGGAAGGAGTTTGAAAGACACAAGCATGGTTTCCACCACAATGGCAGTCACTTGAACAAGACCAAGAACCAGCAGATCCATAAATGCCACAACTTCCACGGTCTTTGACCCCAAAGACAATCGAAGGGTGCGACCCATCACCGGCCAAAGGTACCGTCACACAAAGACCACCTTTGGTAGAGTCATATTTGACACCTTGTGCTGGAGAGCCACTGGAATCAACCGACCCACATCCTTTGCTGCTCCCAGAAGAATCATTGCAGGTATCAGAGAAACCGCTATCAGACAATCGTGATGATTCTGCCGACAAATCAACACCATCAACATAAATGTTGATGTGACTGTAAGTTTCACTATTGCCACTGTCACTCTTACACTCGCAGCTTCCAGTTCCGTCGTCGCAAGACGAGCCGCTCGCTTGGAGGCAGTACTCCACCTCACTTCCACTGCATGTTCCTTGCACGACGTCCAAACACTGCTCGACGTAGGCATCACAGTAGTTTACGCTGCCTTGTGCATTGGCAACAGCCACAAGAGAGGCAAGGTATGACCAAAAGAAAAGCTTCATATTGGTCTCGTCCACTAAAAAAAGAGAGAGTCCGATCTTGCAGTTTCTTTTGTCAGAGGAAACAAATTGTGAGCCGGAGCGGTGGAGGAAGCCGAGGTGGATATCTTTCTCGCCCAACTTGAAACCTTGGATTGGAGTTTGACACGACCAGTCTTCGAAACTGCTTGGATACAACACAAAAATATAATCATATGACTTTGTGACAAACGTAGACATTAATATTTTGGCCGCTTTTCCGCGATTAAATGGGTTAAATATGCATGAATCCACGAACCACGAGCGTGCTGATACAGACATTGAAGTACGTTTGTACTATCGAACCGGTCACAATTCGGTTTAATGGTTACTGCTCCATAACAGGTAGTCTACTGAGGAGTAGGTGGTAGGTGGAGTATTATTTGGTGAAGGTGAAGACGAGGGTACCAAGTTGGATGGGCAACCATTTAATCGTTGATCAGCTCCATTTTCGTCAATAACACGTTCCACTATCAAAGGCGTTCACCACATGTACCGTACAGGTATGTAGTACATTTAGGCAGGTCCTGGATGAAGCCTGGCGCGTGATAAGGGACGATCCTGCATCGTAGATAGCTAGAGTCGAGTCTAGGTCCTTGTGGTTTTCAGATCTCATACCAGGAAGTAAAACGGGGGTTTAGAGTAGGGAAATTATCTATGGAAGCCAGCCGGGGCCAGGCTTAAGCAAAGAACAGTCGAAATTCAGGACTAGGTTCTGTTGGATCAGGGGCAAGAAAGTGAGGACCATTACGAGGGCCAAATGGTTTGGCTTTGTGAGATCCACGGAGACATAAATGGGTAGCTTTCACAAGGGCAATTGAGATACGGATCTCATACCAGGTAATTGAAGTGGACTATCTGAAGAGAATCTTTACGTGGTATGACTGTACATGTAGCTTGAAGCTTCGATTCTTTTGCTTTTGGACACCGGTAGCGGAGTTGATACCGTATCACGGTACCTGGTAGTAAACTCCAGAATGCAAGACTCTGGACAAAAAAATGTTTTGTTGAGGGATGCATTTCCCCCATCTACCTTTTGAATTAGCCGTTGTCAAGGCATAAATCCATCAAGCTTTCCTTTTTGCAGCTTTTGACCACCCCTTTGACCACCCCTATTAATAGTATTGTTGACCACCCCACTCCGCACTTAACCACCCTGGCATTGTTGACCACCAGGAGTTGAAGCACCACAGGCTTCCTCGTCTCGGACCTCTTTGCTCCAATCAAACAAGGCGACAAGCCGAATGCCCGTGCAAAATGGACGTCCCACTATTGGAACTATTGTCGCCTTGATACCTTGCACGGGATGACGTCGGAGGGAGGTGTAGCTACCAGTAACTGCGGATCTTTTTTAATGATACGAAACCTTTCTACTCCCAAGATCCTTTTTGGCTGAATGGACCGCACTAGAGTCCTGCATCTGTACCGGTATCAAGTGGTGTAACGAAGGAGGTGCAGTTAGCCTGCTGATTTTCAGTCGACAGAGCGAGAAGTAGCAACCACCTCGCTCCAATGAAACTCCTTGTTGCAGCGTCATTTCCTGGTAACGATTTGATTCTTGCAGGCTACTTCTATTGTTCTATGCGATACCAGTAGTAAACAAACTGAACCTGCACAACCAGGGACAGCCAGCATCCAGTGCATTTTTGCGCACAGCCACTCGTAGTGGCCGTTAGGTGCAATGTCCTACAGTACGATACTTTGAAATCCTTGCGAAGGCTAGGCTCAATTGACGAAACCACCGCTGCTGTTCAAAATTCTCATATGATTCGATTCAAGAATCCAGAAACTCCGGTGGCACAATCCACCAAATTCCGCTCCGTTGCCCCCACAGACATCGTGGAATTGCATTGGGGCACTCGCATGACCGGTCTCCAATGGATGCCCCGCAACCGCACCTTTGGCGAGATTGCTTGCTCTCTTGCCAACATGATGTTTGCGGGAGGTGGGTGGATATCGTACGGTACGGTACCAACCCATATTCCAATCGCGGGTTCGTCGATGCGCTCCTGTTTGGAAGTCCCCTCCTTTCGAACGCGGTGTTATTAAGAGTGTTTTCAAGGAAGCAAGCAAATGGGGACACGGCGGGAGCGCAACCAAGCACTCTGGCTAGTACTGGTGCAGCAGTAACGTTGATCATGCTGCAAAGGGATGACGGATACCTTTTGACAGAACAATAGTACTATATGGCCACGACATTGGTGCAATGAGTGGGGTAGACACACCGTAAGCGCCTGTGCAGTCTTGTACAGAGCTGAACTCTAAAATGCATGATCCTCAGAACAGCGTCAGCAAATCCTTGCCAGTCTGGATCTCAAGCAGAAGTATCCCAGCGTCAAAATAATCTCATTGCTAAGGGGGGCATCTCCCTCAAGCACATGCAATGGACAACACTCGACTCAGTGGAGCCCCGTTCATGGAGATTGAGGAGTGCGGGCCACCATGCAGCTGGCACCGAGGGATGTCCCAGCTGAGGCTGTTTCCGTCCAACATGAAGCGGCAGGCAATGCGGCAGGTTTGCCGGTAGCACAAGCACAGGCTGTTGTGGCGCCTTCTGTGCCAGGTCGCAGACGCGTAGTTGTGCTTGTAGCTGTGTAATAGAAGTGAAATGCAATGGAGAAAGGTGAAACCCACGGAAGCAAAATGCAAGCCAAGCACTAGCTACCGGTATGATAGGAGTTTGTGACTATTTGAAGAAAAAATGTTGTCTAGGGTCCTTCACCGTCCAGAATGTATGTTGAACTAAGGCTACAAATTTATAACGAGTAGCTGTAGCTGCGAATTGCCTTTTTCACTCTTACACTGACTTGCTCACGGCGTGAGCTTACTACAGGCAGCATTGTGCCCCCCTGCTTGTTGATATGCTTTACAAACCTCTTTCAGTAGGTGGTGGGAATCTTCGTTCATGTATTGCCCATTGATTTCCACCCAAGGTACATGATCATGTCGCTTGGGCGTTGCTTCAGCTGCCTTGGTTTGCAACTGCCAACTGAGATTGGGATCGTCGTGGCATTTCTTAATGGTGGCAAAGTCCAATTGGTTGTCATGTGCACAAGGCTCTAATCCGGTCCATTGTTCAAAGGGCTGATCTCTGTGTCCCATTGGTAGGCTATTGAAAAGACAACTGAGATATGGCACATGTTGGGCTGGATCTGGGTAAAGATGAACAGCACATTGCTCGTATGCATTCGTGTCGCATTCTCCAAAACCGTGTTGACAAGTAATATTGTGACTTGACGAATCAATCTTGGCATTCCCAAAGGGCACCACCGTCAAGTGCATCACATCTTGACCCAACGCGTTGAAGGCAATCATCAACTGATCTCGAAAGAAATTCTTGCTATCGATACACAGCGCCTCGACACAAACCAAAACTTGAACTGGAGCAACATCTTCTTGAACTTCCATCCTCCTAGATGCACCTCTCACAAAAGATATTCTTGGCTGATAGACCAATGAGATTGGCGAAGAGGAGATGTGGAAGTTCTTTTCACCAGCGAATTGGGGTGCACGTGGATCATACTCTGGATCTACCAACAACCACATCAGGCAGGCCATTACAGCCGTCAACACACATGAAGCTACTATCGTGGGGGCCGATCCTCTCATGGTCATCAACTTTAGAACAATAGTTCGCCTTCAATTTGCAGTTTTTACTTTACTTGAATAGAAGTCATCAGTTCTGTTGCTCATTTATTTGGATCCGAGTTGGTGCCAAGTGCCAAAGCGTCAGTTTCGAGAGTTCTTCCACCAAAATTCTGACTGTCTCGGCTGTCACTCGACTCGACTGTCGTGAACACTCGGGACTGTCTGTTATACATGTAATGTGAGCGCGGGACGACAAACTTGAGCTTCGATGGAAGGTGGAATGAAGAAAACTCAAGATGTGAGCGCGGGACGACAAACCTGAGCTTCGAATGGAACCTTCGAAGCAGACTCATTAGATCGTACAGATCGACCTCAACTCAACTTTGATGGACCGTCCATTTGACGATGCAGTTGTTTTAGGCTCACAATCCGAAAAGGACAAACAACCAAAAGCAAATTTGCACTCAAAAAACCAAAACCATGGACTCTACCAAACAAGAAATCCAATCCGCCGTTCAAGCGTGGCTCCAAGGCCTCGACAATGGCAACCTCGACGAGATGGTCAAGTACACCGACGACTCGGTCATCATCTGCAACGAGCACACCAAGACGACTGTGGGGGTGCAGGCCCTCAAAGACAAGTACGGCCCTCTCATCGCCGCCATGAACTTTGAATCGACGTGCACGGTTCAGGAACTCCTGGTCTTTGGCGACTTCGCCTTTTGGGTCGGCCGCTTTACCGCGAACGCCAAGTCCAAGGTGACGGGAGAGTCACTCAAGAAAGCGGAGGGCCGTTTGGTCATGGCGCTCCGCAAGGTGGGGGGCACCTGGAAGGTCTTCCTTGACGTGGACAACAACGACGAGACTGACAAGAAAGCGGAAGCGGCGGCCTGAGGCTTCTGGCAAGTCACATCCAGCCGAAGACAACTCAACAGAGTCAGAAGGAGTCCCGATGCAAAACTAAGTGTAGCTAGCCATTAAAAAGTATGAAGTGAAGCAAACATCTGTCTCTAAATTATCACTGAATCCAGGGGGGTAGTTCTAAGAAGCCTTGACTCACATTGGGATACGGGTACCCTGGTCGCTCCTGAGCGTGCCGCGATAATTTATTGGACGCGTTGTGGCCGTTACGTGCAATGTGGACCACATGAAGACCACAGAAAATATGGAAACGGAAAAGCAGGAACAAACACTAGGCCACCAGTAATAGTTACTCAGCACAACCATCAAGCCCGCTTTTTGAGTTCGACTCCACTCGACTGATAATGCTTTTGCAAGAGGAAACACAACACAACCCCGGCAGCCAGGGCTCCAACTGGCGCCATGGCTGGTCCTCCAAAGAGTGTTTCAATTGCAAGGGAAGCAGTAAACAGTACAAATGTGGGAATACCCAGCAGGATGATTCCAGACCAAAACCCAAAACCACCAAGAAACTCAGCCCACTTCTGGCCAGCTTGAAGCCAAGGGATGATGCCATCAGCATTGGATGGATCAGGGGACTGACAGAAGCTGGATGACACTCCAAGGCACAGCATTCTGTAAGGTGACAACCAAAGATGAGAGATGGCATGCTCGCTCACCCCAAAGTAGTCTTTGGCCAAGCCAATTCCGCCTGGGGCCTGTTCAAGGATTGAGATGTAGTTTGAAGCAACAATGCCATCCACCACAATTGTGCCGCCCATAGTCAAGGGCATATACTGCCCCTTCTTTTGGACTATCGAAATCTTGGTGACAGTGGCTGAGCCTTGTTCTGAATTACTAGTAGCCACAGACACAAGATCTCCAACCTTGAGCTGATCAGCAGGGATCGCCTGTTGTCTGTGGTTGTTGTCAAGGACATAGATAAGATGTTTTCTTGTCATCTCAAGTGGTTTCTTGTGGTTTGCCGTGGTAAAGATTTGGAGAAAGGCAACCTTCATCGACTCATGAAGGTGCCCAAAGCCATAGAGAGTCTGGTACTCCCCCCCAGCAGTTAAGACCTTGTCGCCCACTTGGAGATCCTTCATGAAAACATCACCCTTGTCTTCAACCTGAACTACAGTGTCCCTTGAGAAGCAATTGCCTCCAGCATCATTGTTTCCTCCTCCATTATTGCCATTTCCATTCCCATTTCCATTGCCATTGCCATTCCCATTTGCATTGCTGTAGTCACAGCCATCTTTGGATGAAACAACAGTGGAACCGTCGCTCTGACAAGTAACATCAAAGCACGTTGTAGCAGCCTTGACTTCGAAGGTGTTACCTGTGGCCCCACTTGGGACTGTGATATCAGCGCCTGTGGTGAGCCCATCTTCTACCTTCTCATCATCTTCTCGTCCCCAGCCAATGTAGCTCCAGTCCTTGCAGAAACAGCTGTCTCCATCAGGCTTGGTAAAGCTAATGCTGGTTGGGACATCCGTTGAACCCCCGTCGTACTCACACATGATATCGTAGCAGTTGATATCTGTAATCCCACCATAGTCGGAGCATTTACTCATGGGATTATCATCTGGCAAATCCGTGCTACAGGAACTGGGTGTCTCGTAGACACAGGCATGGCCTCCTCCACAGTGGCAGTCGCCGGAGCAAGTCCAGCTCCCCTCTCCCAGAGCATACCCACAACTTCCGCGATCCTTCACTCCAAAAGCAATCTTTGGGTGGGAACCATCGCTAGCCAAGGGAACAGTCACACAGAGACTCCCTTTGGTGGATTCATACTTGACACCTTGTGCTGGAGAGCCACTGGAATCAACCGACCCACATCCTTTGCTGCTCCCAGAAGAATCATTGCAGGTATCAGAGAAACCACTATCAGACAATCGTGATGATTCTGCCGACAAATCAACACCATCAACATAAATGTTGATATGACTGTAAGTTTCACTATTGCCACTGTCACTCTTACACTCGCAGGAAGCAGAGCCATCGGTCATGCAACCAGAAGAACTCTTATCCTGGAGGCAGTACTGCACTTCACTGCCGCTACAGTCACCTTGGACAACTTCTAAGCATTGCTCGACGTAGAGATCGCAGTAGTTAACCCCACCAGTTTGGGCGTTGGCCACTGCCAAGACAGATGCAAGAAGCAAATAGGAAGAAGAGAGTTTCATGTTTCGAATCCAAATTTGTGTCCTCTCAGCTCTCAGAGAAGCGTCAACTATGGACTAAGAGGAGCGGTTGGACGATTGTTGCCTTTTTCAGATTGTACCGTCCTGTTGCATAGTCGACAAAGCTTACCGCTGCTACTAACGCGAACGAGTAAAGACTTATTATTACGGTCTTGTGGACACTGCAAAATAAATTTCACTAGAAGTCACTCTTGCTCATCATGCTTTCCGGCTTCCGGCCATCGTAAGATTTATCCCTTGATCATCGTTCCTACTATTTTCTTGAGAGTTGCAATGAAATAATGTGAGACGCACCAGCATTTATTTTTACTTGCGGGAGTGATCAAGGAAGGAAGGCGTGAACCCACTTCACCGTCAAACCCGCCAAGCTGAGATGTGCTGTGCCGAAGCCATCATCATAGACCGGACTCGCCCAAGATCCAAAGCCCAACCATACGAGTGCCCCTCTACCAGCCAGCAAGTAGTCATAGGCTCGCTGTCTTCCATCTTCAGCCATGTCCAGCCAACAACAGTATGGTACCGCTACTAGCTACTAGCTAGCTAGCCAGGGTTCTCCGAACCATTGACACCGCCGGATCTTTGGAAACTCCATGCACCCATGCTGCCATTCTGCCATTCTGCCGTAGCCCACCTGCCTTGCTCTTTGGTTTTCGTGACACAAATTCACGCTTTTCGCAACTCCTTCCTCTACTAATGATCCATGCCTCAACTCCATGTCTACGGGTAGCCTGCAGAAGGTACTATTAGACACTCCATGGTTGGGTGGCACCCCCCAGAGCCCTGGGCTCGCCCGTTCGGGATCATTGAATGGCTGGAAGGCCTGGGTCAACCTGTTGTCATTGGCGAGGATGATCAGTTTTGGATGCTCTCAAAACCTTCCTGTCACTGGCAGCACAATACAGGTGCACCCATGAGCAGAACCTAGCCAAGCTTTGCATCATGACAATGGTGCGTATCATCTAATTCTGCATGAGTTGATTGTGAATTGAGATCGGGTTGCCCCACCTCTTCCATTACAGCTCTTCGCTAGCACTGGTTGGTTCCTAGCTCCATGGATCAACTTAACTTCCTCTCTTGCCACCTTTCAAGACAGCCGGTCTGTCCACTGTTAACTAGGACAGCTGATGAAATTGATTAATCTACTTGAGGTAGCTACTGGTAAAGCCAATGATGTTTGGAACTGAGCAAGAAACTTGACAGTATTGACTTATGAACAATGTAAGGGTGTGGCAACAGCCCCCAAGTTGACTCAGCTTGGCAAGCCAGCCGCACATACACATGTAACATGGAAGGGAGAGTTGCAGCCTCTTCATCCGGGCAACAGGCAGTCTAGGCCACAGCGAGGTCTCGTTGGGACAGGGCAGGAAGATGCAAAATGTTGGAATCACTGCCCATTAGGCCAGCTGCACACGGGGCAGCTGCAACCACAGAGAAGGTTAGTACAATCAAAGGTCAATCCACAGCCACCACTGATAACCCTCCATTCAATTTGAGGACAAGTAGTAGAGTTTGTGCCCATTGAACACATGGCTTGGGGGATAGTCCCCAACAAATTAACATTGCCAGCTACACTCAAAGACACCAAGGATCCATTGTTGGCCAACAAGCTCAGCTCCTGTGGGATGCTTCCTCCGATGTTGTTCTTCTCCACACTCAATATTTGCAAGTTGAATAGCAATCCAATCTCACTTGCCAAGGTACCTGTGATAAGGTTGTCACCCAGTACAAAGCTTTTTAGCCCAAACATCAACCCCACAGAGGAGGAAATGGTTCCAGTGAAGGAGTTGCCATCCAAATGGAGGTCTGTCAAGTCAGACAGAGCTCCCAGCGATGGCAATGGCCCTGTGAGCCTATTGTCAGAAAGAGCCAGCCTTGTTAGAGAAGTAAGCATCCCAAATTCAGTTGGCACTTCTCCCTTTAATGATTGTCCAAACAACTGGAGGTACTGCAAGTTGGTCAATCTGCCAATCTCTGAAGGAATAGCACCAGACATCATGTTGGAATCGATAAAGATTTTGGTCAAGTTGCTCGACAGCAAGCCAAGTTCGGAGGGGATGCTTCCTGTCACTCTGGTGTAGATGATATTTATCTGCACCAGGTTGGTCAACAAGCCCACTTCAGTTGGAATGCTTCCACTGAGAAGCTTATTCTTGCGGAGATCAACGAATCTCAAGTTTTCCATGTTGCCAATAGTGGAGGCCAGGGAACCTCTCAGTTCTGGGCACTCTGAAAGGACAAGTGCATCCATGGAGGTCAACAAGAATAGTTCAGGAGGGAGTTCGCCGTTCACATTGTTGTTCCGTAGATAGATCTTTTCATAGAGCCCTTGAGGATTATGAATAGTCAGGTTCTCCCCACAGGTGTATCGCCTCTGACGGCAACAAGCATTTTGTTCATTGCCTGCCAGATCATGCGACATGTACCAGTTACATTCATGACTACTGTAGTTGAGCCAGTTGTCATTACGAAACCACCGAGGGCCTTCTGTTGAATGATAAAATGTTGCGAGAGCAAAACGTTGAATAATTCTCTTGTTCGAATAGGTCCCCAGGGAAGGATCACCTAGGAGCCATTTGAATGCTTTGGATTGAGCAGTGGTGGACCCACTGTTAGCAGGGTCAATTGCTTTCACAGATTCCACTGGTAGAAGACTCAAGATTTGGTCCACAACAGATGGTTGAGTAGGGTCCATATTTGTGTTGGTAGTGGTGGTAGTGTCGGTAGAAGACGCGTCCTTGTATTCTGTAGAATCATGGGTCCTCCTCAGCAGCACTGTAGGTACGGTAATGGCCAGTAGAACAAGAATTCCAAGTGCCATTACCTTGCAAGTAAACATAAGATTCTCCTTTCTGGAATCCCTTCTTCTGCTTGGATCGTAAACTTCAGCCTCGGGTAGATTTGCTTCTTCATCGACTGGTCGCGCCTCTGCGAGGTTTGGACTCGCAGGATCTGGCGATGTGATTCCAATTTCTGGATCTTCGCCAGTCACAACGACAGTAGCTGGGTTCGTCTCGTTGATGTTGCTGTTGCTGTTGCTGTTGCTGTTGTTACTACTGCTGCTGCTGCTTCCGCTGCCTCGTTCTTCTCGCGCTTGCGCCCTGATACCTACCACCGCATGGGCACCCGGTACAGAACGAGGACGTCTGGACGATGCCCGCGCCAAGGCCATGCCGTTGTGTGAAACCGCGACGGATGCATCGCAATCCACAGGGAGAGGCTCAATCATGGCATGGAAGGCAGATTGCATTTGTTCCATGACCAAATTGGGTTCCTGGGGCACACTGGCCGTGTTGGCACTCTTCGTATTATCCATGGCTCGTTCCTAACGTACCTGGCACCTCGGAAGGCTTGTTGGGGAGAATTTCCTACTTTTGCCGTTGCTGCCTATCAAGCGAAGTTATCTCTTCTAAGAGGAGATATGTGAGAAGGAGCTGTGGGATTATCAGCTGAAACTCAACACTCCAAACTACATGTTGGTCAATCGACCAGACCAAGTGCGGCAAAAAGTGAGGTAGGAGGCAGTTGCCGCTGACAGCAAGAAGATCCTGTGGACTTGAGCTACCGGTACCAGTACAGAAGACGCAAAAAGTGTTTTGAACAGGATCATTTTAAAGTCTTGTTTCAAAAGATTTCTATCATGGTTTAAAGAAAGAACAACGAACAAAGAACCATCAAAGGAGACGGGTCTTGGATTTAGAGTAAAATTGCTGAATGACGAATCCTTTGTGGAATCTTTGAACAATCTTTCAATGGTACCGGTACAAGGTACCGTACGAGACCGGTACGATACATCCCAGCACATCCTTACCTTTCCCATGCAATTCAAGCGCAACACTGAAGTCAACTGAAGGAGCATTGAGACTTTTGACGTGTCCACACGTAACCCCGCCAGCGCCGCGTCAGGGCATGGCTAACATTGGCTTTAGGCATGATGATCTGGCAATTGAAGAAAAGAGAATGTGATGGATAAACTGCGGCCACTGAAGCCTGCTCCTGAAACCATCAACGAAAATCATAAGATTGACACTCCGTTTGATGGCTACCGTACCACCGGCATCGCAGCTCTGATCCTCGACGGTGATGCACTACATGTAACAGCGCACCTCGTTAGCATAACGCGGTACCGTACCGGCATTGTGCACCATGCGCACTAATGAACCTGTTAAGGATGCTCGACTGGAGTTTGTTAAAAAGAAAAGCCTACGGTGTAACAGTAGTTGCGGTCGGCAACTGTCATGTGGTACAGTATGTCCTACCGCGACAACAAGTCGAATTCCAGAGTTTTCTAGTCCAAGCTTGTCAGCAATTCACCATCTTCAGTCGCCCCAATTGATGGATAGGTCGTATAAAAAACATAGCTTCTGATGGCTGCACTTTTGAGCATGGAATTGGCATACAGGCAGTGATCCATTCCCCTCATCCAGTCCCCCGAACCGCCGCCATTTCATTCCGAATCGTACTATCATGTTTTCTTACTGCTGTTGGTGGGACAACTGGCCCCTCCAATCAACCGAAGCTGAATTCCATAATTGCGCAAGGTATCTCTTGATGGTGTAGCTGCAGACTCTGACGGAAGTACTTTTCCACTGGCTTCTAACTTCTCCCGTTTCCGACGGACCATCTTTTGTTTGAGCTCTTCTAAATCAATGGCTTTGCCAGGTGTCGTCGACAGCTCTTGTGCAATGCCCTCCACTTCATTCAAGGAAAGAAACGGTGGTCTCCCATAGTTGAGCCAATCATAATTGGGAAACGTTTCCAGAGTGCCACCTGCTTTTTTGTGTTGCTTCCATCGTTTCAGCATTTCGTAGAGGGCCGCCTTCTTGACGGGAATATAGGATGACTGGAGAATGTCCGCAATGATTTTGCCTTTGGTTGTTCCGGCAGTTCCTTGCAGCTTTTCCACTACCTGAATACATTCATGGCGAGTATACGTTTTGCCATTGGCGGGAGGTGGAAGTGTAGCATGGGGAATGATATTGGTGGTGGTGGGGGTTGTAGTAGCTGGAGTTGCAGCAGACGTGGCTTTGAGTTTCTTGGAGTAAGCACTGGATGACTCTGACAAAGCTACTTTTCCGCTGGCTTCACTCTTTTTCCTTTTCCGACTGTCCATTTGTTGATTGAGCTGTTCATTGGTTTTGCCAGGTTTCGTTGGCAGTTTTCGTACAATTCCTTCCACTTCATCAAATATAAGAGCATGTGGTGGTCGCCCAAGGTTGAACCAACTGTCATTGGGAAATGAATGAAGGGTGAACCCTGCTGCTTTGTGTTCCTTCCAATTTTTGAGCATTCTGTAGAGGGCCGAATGCTTGACCGGAATATAGGATGACTTTAGAAGTGCTTCGATGATCTTGCCTTTTGCCGCCGTTCCTTGAAGGTTTTCCACTACCTGAATACATTCATGGCGAGTATACGTTTCGCCATTGGCGGGGGGCGGAAAGTTGATTGTAGCATCCTTATCGGGAATGACTTTGGTGGGGGTAGGAGTTTCCGTGGTGGGGGTAGGAGTTGTTGCTGCTGCAGTGGCTTTCGGTTTCTTGGAGGAGGAAGCACTTGCGTTTCCGGTATTATTATTATTCTCATCCTCATCAATTAGAGTTTCCACTTTTTGAAGGGAAGTCATTCGTCCTTGTTTCCTCATGGCTTGTCGGTTGGCCGCGGCAATTCGTTGATACCCTCTGTTGAACCCAGAGATGGGTGCCATAGCTCTAACATCTTTTTGCAGTTTGGCATTTTCTTGTTGGAGGTAATTAATGAGGATTGTTAGATTGTCTGCCGCTTTTGTTTTCTCGTCATTGGAAGCAGAAGAATCTAGTAGCACAGTTTGTATTTCTTTGATGGCTTTGGAGGTTTCCAGCAGTCCATCCGCTCGTTCCGAGAGAGCAATGCAAAAGTCTGTTTTGGTATCCACAAATAGGCCAGTTCCTGGCTTTCGTGTCAGCGCAGGTGTACTACTCATGGCTGCAATTAATTGAGGGTCGAGTTGACTCGAGTCAGTCTGGCGTTTCTAGACTACGGTATCAAGTGATGGGGTCAGAGAGATTGGTCGACAGTGGCAAAAAGGGGTTTTGCTACCAAATAGACAAGACACTACTGCTAGCTAGTACGGTACCACTGCGACCGGCACGTCCAAATTGGGTATCCCCTATTTCAGGATATGGTATTGCTAGCACTACTACTAGGCTAGCTAGGGTGGTTTTATTGGTCAGCTAAGGTGTCCAAGTGGGTATCTCTGCGGCTCTACGGCAAGTGACAATAGTGGAATTTCGACACCCCTCAATCTTCCTCCTTGCTGCGTGTTTGCTTCGCGTTGGGACGATGTTCTGTTTGCTGTGTGAGAATTCCAGACTTTTGCGTAACCAAAAGCTCACTGTGTGACTCGACTCGTCACTCGACTCAGCAATAAACCCCATCTCTAAATCATTTCGCCCCCATTTTTGAATGTCAGAAAGGTATTTTCGTATGACGGACAGACGACTCGGGATCCACAATCACGGTTCGTGATTGGGGATGTGTGACTCAAATCAGATGGTTATCCGATCATCATCAGATGGCCAGGTGTAAGTGTACGAGGAACAGGACAATGGTCGTCTAGATGATGCAACTACAAAGGTTAGGAAGATAGGTCGAAGAGATGAATGCAAGGAGCGACGGGATGGAGCAAATGATGGACGGATGAAGGTCCATAGGTTTAGTAAAGTGGGAAAGCCTCAGGGCCAACCATGCACTTCAGGAAGATAGATCGACGAGATCTATCTGTAGATGAAACTGCGAGAAGCAGAGGATCGAAAGATCCTGGTATATGTATGCATATCGGAGCTCAGTTGTAGAGCTCACAATCTGAACGAGAGAGAAGAGAAAACGAAACGAATAGCCAGTCTACTAGACAGTAGAGCTGGAAGGATATTGATTAAATTAGAGAAATTGTGCGTTCAAGTCACACCTTTTCAACACGTTTTAAAACGATAGCTATCAGGAAAGAGTGAGCTTGGATCCAGGTTGTCAAACAGAAAGGAGAAGAATTGAGAAGTAAGTAAAGATGTCTACGGAGGTAGAGGTATCATCGTCGAGCAAGTATCCCATCTTCGATGGGAAAGATGAGAAGTTCAGGTTCTACAAGGTCAAGATGATGGCCCATTTATCGAAGTATGGGTACGTAGAATGACTATGAATTCCGGTAGGAACTCAGTGGTAGGTGCACAAGACTGGGATGGAGAGCCCTGTTTGGTGGAGATCTCCTTCCACTGGCGCTGGAAAGGCCAGCCCAGGCTGGCAGCCAATGCTATTCAATCACTGTGAAGCAATGATTGAACAGTCTAATTGCTCAATACCCTGGCACTGGCCATACAGGATCCTGTCTACTGCAGAGCTCTACTTGTTGCTGTTGGGTCTGTATCTGGTCAACTACTTCTTCATTACTTCTTTAAACTATAATATGAACACAAAATCTGATTTTGCGTGAAACTCCAACCTCCAGCCATGCAGGATACAGATCCATGCATCTCTTTTGGCTGGTATATACCAGGCTATCTTTCTAGATAGGTCATGGCTGAGGAGCTGCATCATCCTTCCTTGCAGAGGAACTCTATGTCCTCTACAGCTGTTCCTATCTTGTCTGATGGTGACACAGCTCATTGTACTGAAAGAGTGTACAGATGCAGCAGCGATCTTTCCACCAGACTGAGCCAGCACAGCTGCGCCGCACCATAATATGTGCTCCTATGCATAATCTCATCGCTCCCACCATTGGAGTCATGGATGGGTGCCAACAAGCTTGCACATCATGGGGCTTCCCTCGATACTTCCATGAACTGGGAGCATCTGACTGCTCAGTGTGGACTTTGGTCGCATACCTCAGGGTTACCAACCCTCTTGAATACATCAAGGTGTCCATTGCTGAGTACCACTTGACACATTGGGAGGGGCATCACATGGGCTTGTGATCGAACTCCAGTCGTGTTCAGGAGAGAAAGGGTGCATTGGCATTGGTCCATTTGACCGTCAATTGGGATCTCATCTGGTCTCCCCATACTTGCATCACAGCTCATTGGCTTAGGAGGTATCTGTCTATCTCCCCATAAGGGCCAGTGAGAACAATCTGGCCATAACTGTTCATCTGGAGCCCTCAACTGGGTAGTTAGGTGACGGATTGTCATCCTATGAGGTGGGACTGGTTGTCCTTATCATCAGATATTGCCTCAGCTAAAGGCAACACCTCGTAGACGTCTCCTCAAGTTTACCATCTCCTTACATGGGTTCAAAAGAATCCCGTCCAGAGACACGACTAACTTGGTGCTTGCTTGGGTATGACCGTGCAGGTCCTGTCACATGACATGGCAGTGGCTCATCCCACAGCCATCAGCTTGGGTGGGTGTTCTCCCGCCCTGCTTCACCTTTGCTGAGGGTGACACAGTGTAAGTTCTCCCCATCACCCGAAAGTGAAGGGAGTGCCATCAGGCGGGAGGGTGGGAGTCACCAAAACATGTTTTCACAAAACATTGTACTTGGAATACTATCCTGGAGATGACAAGTTTAGCACAAACGCTTGTCATACTGGGCCATGTCCTGCGGAAGGTAGCCCCTATGAGGGTGGCATGCTACCCCGCAGCCATGGCCGGTGCCTGGGTACCTTGGGCTCAACCATGCGACACAAACACTAGTGCCCGGCGAAAATCCCTTGGTCTGCACCTGCCCGTGGAGGCTGCAGGCACCGTATTGCCATCTGGAGGATCTGAGGCGTCCCCGACTGCTGGGTCAGCTTCGCTCTTTGGATCAACCAGGTCAGACATCCGGGCTTGACGATGGTGTGCTTGCACCAAGACTCTCTTGTCAGCGACGGAGAGCTTGTACCAAGCTGCCGTCCATTGCTGGATAGCTGAGACCAGACATTGTCGGGAAGGCGTGGGATAATTACACTGCTCCCCATCACCCTGATGTCCTGTCTTGCCAATGTCAGCGATGTTGGCTAGACGTGAATCATCGTCTCTTCGGTTGATGTCAAAGAATGTGGCAGCATTCAGTAGCACCTCCTTGTACCCGTCGTATGTAAACGATGCATGATGTCCCTCGCAACATACTCTCTCATGTTCACGTGCAGAAATGTCGTTCAAGGTGGGGACACCGTGAAGGCCCGCTGTAAGAACAGCTTCTGTACCTACCTGTGAGGCTCATACACTCTAGGTGAGATAGTGGATCGACTCAGGTCTCCTCTTGGCCATTCATTGTACTCGGTAACATCTCTCTCTTTC